GTAAGAAACGGGAACGTGGTACGTTAATTCCTGAAATAGAAGTGCATTCATTGCGCGATAGCGGATGAAGGCGCCCTATTCGATAGATGAACACACCGAAACGAGACTCCTTCAAGGCTATATGCATCCACAAAATTGAAATCAACCTACCACACGATCCTTTGAAGTTCTTGATGGCAGCACCTGCAGCAGTCTCCAACTGAATGACATCGATGCCTCGTTCAAGATGTTTTGGATTAACGATCACTTCCATTTCCAGTTCATTCTTCTCAACCACTCTCTTTATCGCATCTAATCGTACCCATAGATTGTTGGTGTTGAAAATTCTTCAAATACGACGTTTATTACATTGAAATATCTTTTTATTAGTTCAAACCAGAATTTCGAAATATCTTCGGATATTTAGTGCTAACGAATATTCCATTTTTGTTCATAATTTTAATTTGTTGTGATTACGGTGAGTAAAAGAATTTGGTCGAGGAAATTCCAATAAACTCGATCATATTAAACCCTCAATAACAACTCGTAAGAATACAAACGCAAGCAGACGACGAATCTAGTTCAACAATTACCTAAATTTGCTGACACTCTTAAATTCATCCACATAATCCTTGGGCACTTGAGCAATCTCGAGAAGCATAAGACGATTTTCGTAATCGATAAGAGTACCACCCTGGAATATTGCATCCGTTATCATCATGTTTTCTTATGACGAAAATTAACAATCAAAAAGCTGTCATGCCCAAACTTCATCATAAATCAAGTTCAATTCTGACTGCGAAAATCAACAATGACTTTTAAACAAACTCCTCTAATAACTGCACCATTTGCAGTGACTTATAAGGTTATCAATTACTTGCTCGACAGATAAAAATTTCTGATGGTGAGTAATTTTCGTATGAAATCAACGAGGAATAAACATTTGGATGTTGATAACTCTATGCGTCGATTATCATTACTACTTTTAATTTGTTGCGGTTGCGGTGAGCACCATCCCGACCGCTACTATTATCATATTTTACCTTAACGTCAGCCCTTGTCTTATCAGTCACCTCCATGACAAACTCTGGTGGAGCGCCTTCTGCACCATGTACAACGAAATTCAGTATGCTCAGATCCACTGTAGCGCCCATATTGTCAATATTTGATACGAAACATACCTAAACACAAGCAAATCAAATAGCAATGATGTGCACTGCGATCGAATATTCCACTCAGTTGAACTAAAAAAAACTCCTTCGTAAGTGATTATCAATTACCATCGTCTCATAATGAACGAATTTCTACTTCAAAGGCATACTCATATATGGATCGAACATCCATCGAATATCATTCCCTTTAATGAGAATGAGCAGTGAAAAAAGGTTGAAAATGAGGAATAATAGTTTGCTTGCGCATATCGTAATCATGATTTGCAGTCAAATGTCCATAATGAGTATCGTCAAAAGTTTCACAACAAAAAAAAAAACTCAAAACCTGCTTTCCATCTGCGATAAACTTATCCAGCAAACCAGAGTTATAGAATGCTTCGTAGAAATTACCGTGACCAGGTGGATACCAGCTGAAAAGTTGTGTATAGTGCGAGACTTGATAATGGGCAAATATAGATTGAAGAGTACAAGCAAAAAATAAAAATAACATCACTATTGTAGTGAAGATTAATTACAGTCACTCGTCAAGAAAACTTCTTGTTGTAAATGGAACCTTGTTGGCGTAATAAAACGTCAAGCGGAATATTATCGAAGCATTTCTTTTTGGAGAATGAACTAGAATCAACAGCAAATAACACCACGTGACATTAAGAATCAACTGAATGCATTCGACAAGAGGACTGAGCTTGAAGTTAGAGGATGATAGCGAAAGTGTTTTAAAATACCACCGTTAGATAGGAAAAATTAAGCGCATAAAAATAGAAAGATGATAAGATCAAACCCTTCCAAGTCGTGATCGG